ATGCAGCGGTCTTTTATAAAAATCAGTTGTTTTAATATCACTAATGTAGCTGTTATAACAACCGCTCAAGCAATGAGGGAGCTGGAAAAAATAGTCACAGCAAGCCATGTCGATCATCTCATTATACTTTTTTGTGTGTGTATTGTGCTATTTAATCATATTTATCTAATCACATGATAAACAAACACGATTTTCTTTTGATTTTAACATTGAGAATTTCCAAAGCCAGTGGCTCATATGTCATAGGTCAAGCGGAAAATAGATGTGCTGCCAGTTATATCCTGAGTCAATTCATGCACAACTATTACATTATGAATCAAAACAAAGCAAATTAACAATGATGAAAAATATATTAATAAGAAATAAAAAAAAATAAAACGATGGATTTCAAAGATAAAGTCAACCTTGAATAAATATAGGACTGGGAAGGACTGAAATCTACAGGTATTGTTTAAAAGGTAGAAGTGAGAAAAATTCTTAAAAGCTATTTAATTGAGAGCTTCAACTCCACAGTGACAATGGCTGTTTCTTTGAATGTATAGTTACATTCTTCATGGATGAAGGAAAAGGATGTTGACTTGCTTGTTGTTTCTTATTCAGTGGTCAAGTATTTTTCCCTCTCACCAAGTCACGGGTATATAAGACTAGATAAGAACTGAAATCTTGCTTTTTCTGCTTTTAGATATTGAGTTGTTCCGTTAACCATCTTAAACTATGAAAGTGATAATTTTCTTTCTAAAACAGAACAGCAGTCAGCTTTATTTGTAAAGAAGCTTTTAGCAGTAGCAGTGAGTACATTTCTAGATCATTTTGCACTATTTACAAGGCTTTTGCAAATTCTTAAATTTTAGATTTGTTTATGATGAAATTTGATTAAAGTCTAACACCGACAGCAGCAGGGCTATTCAAGGGTGCTGTGTTTTATGGGGGAAATTTCACCATCACTGTCAACTCGTCCTCGTCTTCAACAGAAGTACATTAACAACAAACTTATAAACGAATAAAACGCATGTTTGAGTCTTCAGACGACGACAACAGTCCACCTTTGACATAGAAAGAGTTAGCTTCGTTGAAAAGCTAAGTATTCATTTTTATCGAGCTTTTCCTCCTCCTTATCGAGCTTTTCCTCCTTTCTGAATAGAAAATTCAGTATATTCTTGAATGAAAATTTATGAAATTGTCATGCTGTGAGCTTAGTTAAATCAGTTCAGCATTTTATTTTACTATTTCAAGCCTTGATTTAACTTGTAAGGGATCTTTTTGTAAGCTATTTGGAAAGATTTCCAAACTACATGGATATTTGTAAAAGCGATTAAATAAATCACCTTGAATTTCAAGAGAATCTCAGTTTGTATATAAATTATAAACAAACTTCATCATGGAAAATATTTTTGTACAACATTTACGCACAAATTTGTTTTCACCAAATGAAATCTCTTGCATTTTAGCTTTCCTTTGTATCTGATTGTTGCGTTAGTGTCCCGAGCATTTTAGTTTTCCTTTTTGTCTGATTGTTGCGTTAGTGTCCCGAGCATTTTAGTTTTCCTTTTTGTCTGATTGTTGTGTTAGTGTCTCGTGTATTTTAGTTTTCCTTTCTGTCTGATTGTTGCGTTAGTGTCTCGTACATTTTAGCTTCCCTCTTTGTCTGATTGTTGCGTTAGTGTCTCGTGCATTTTAGTTTTACTTTCTGTCTGATTGTTGCGTTAGTGTCCAGCGCATTTTAGTTTTCCTTTTTGTCTAATTTTTGTGTTATTGTCTCGCGCATTTTAGTTTCCATTTTTGTCTAAATGTTGCGTTAGTGTCTCGTGCATTTTGGTTTTCCTTTTTGTCTAATTGTTGCGTTAGTGTGTCGCGCATTTTGGTTTTCCTTTCTGTCTGATTGTTGCGTTGGTGTCTCGTACATTTTAGTTTTCCTTTTTGTCTGAATGTTGCGTTAGTGTCTCGTGCATTTTAGTTTTCCTTTTTGTCTGATTGTTGCGTTAGTGTCTCGTGCATTTTAGTTTTCCTTTTTGTCTGATTGTTGCGTTAGTGTCTCGTGCATTTTAGTTTTCCTTTTTGTCTGATTGTTGCGTTAGTGTCTCGTGCATTTTAGTTTTCCTTTTTGTCTGATTGTTGCGTTAGTGTCTCGTGCATTTTAGTTTTCCTTTTTGTCTGATTGTTGCGTTAGTGTCTCGTGCATTTTAGTTTTCCTTTCTGTCTGATTGTTGCGTTAGTGTCTCGTGCATTTTAGTTTTCCTTTCTGTCTGATTGTTGCGTTAGTGTCCAGCGCATTTTAGTTTTCCTTTTTGTCTAATTGTTGTGTTATTGTCTCGCGCATTTTAGTTTCCCTTTTTGTCTAAATGTTGCGTTAGTGTCTCGTGCATTTTGGTTTCCCTTTTTGTCTAATTGTTGCGTTAGTGTGTCGCGCATTTTGGTTTTCCTTTCTGTCTGATTGTTGCGTTGGTGTCTCGTACATTTTAGTTTTCCTTTTTTGTCTGATTGTTGCGTTAGTGTCTCGTCCATTTTAGCTTTCCTTTTTGTCTGATTGTTGCGTTTGTGTCTCTTGCATTTTAGCTTTCCTTTCTGTCTGATTGTTGCGTTAATGTCTCGTGCATTTTAATTTTATTTTTTTTCTGATTGTTTCGTTATTATCTCGCGCATTTTAGTTCACCTTGTTGCCTGATTTTAACTCTGGTTCCTCGTGCATTTTAGTTTACCTTTGTGCCTGACTGTTGCGTTTTTATCTCGCGCAGTTTAGTTTAACTTGTTGCCTGATTGTTGCGTTAGTTGGTGTTGGCTCAAGTTTGGAAATGGTCAAATTATTGCAATATTTTTGGATGTTGCAAGATGTTGTGTGCGTTTGGCCAGCTCCTTCATAACATTTAACACATGGTCATTATGGAATTCCAAATATTAAAACATATGTTTCGGTAGATGCCCATTATGATCTAGGAGTTAGTTCGAGTTGTTTCTAATGACTCGAACAACGGCTTCCTTTGGGAAATAGGAGCTGTTCGTCGTCTGTCTAAAGGCAGTGGCAATTTCCTCTCCCCACCCGAGAGAAATTTTAAGCGTCACCAGAGTAACCAGCGCTCCGGCAAGGTAGGTGCGATTCCTCTAAAATATTCATGCTGCTGATGAAAATGCGGCATGATATTTTTATTAGAGTCTTTTAGTTTATTCCGTGCGCTTAGTAGTATTTATCAAAACACGCTCTTTTAATCAAATATTCTTCCTAACAAGTATTGCCACTTTTAGCTCAACTCTAGCTTGATCTTAATTTAGGCGTGGTATTGAGCTTTTTTGGCTCTTTTAAATAGTTCGGCCAAAACATAATTATCTGTTATTACATGGGAACTGTGATCCTGAGTGCTTTTCAGCTGTCAAAACCACGGGCCAAAACCTGTGGGAATATTTGTATAAATGTTTATCAAAGGTTGTCGTAAGTGTGAACGGAAAATTATAGATTCCACGAGCTGAGTAGTTCTGTTTTATCTAGCTTAATGCTTAATGGATTTTTTTAACCCTTGCGAAAATATTTCATGGTGGAACAACCTTATGTATATTCTGTATAATTGTTATAACTAAACGTCGAAATAAAAGAAAAAAGTGATGACTAATTTACAGTAGAAAAGAGTACTGGTAAGTGAAAATCAGTCAAAAATGAGTTGAAGAATAAACTAATAAAGAGCTGTATTTTTCGATTCTGTTGGACGAAAACTACCGAGCAGAATGACATTATGATCGTTGCAAACTATTAAAAAATGTAGTGAATCTGAGAAGATCCTAGAATATTCTCGATTAAAGCTTTTTCAATATTCATCTCTCTGATCACTTTAACATATTTTTTATTGCAATAGATGAATGCGCCATTTGAGTCGACAAAGTTCGGTGTGGCGTTGCTTTCTAGATCTCGCCTTATCAGAAATCAATTCTGAAACCGCAATGAGCGTCTAATGAGTCACACCAGAGCTAAAAGAAACTTTAAGGAACACCAATATATTGTTTCATCCATATCAACACCATCTTTCTTAATGATAGAAAAAGTTATGATTTCATGGCGAAATTAATTTTTGACAAATATTTGCCCAGCAGGAAGAAGGAACCATTTTAATTAAACCTCATAAACATTATTTCCATAACCAATAATTGGCATACCTAACGCCTCGAAAGGTTACGATGTCCTCAGCTCACCAATCACATTCTGTTTTCCAATAATGTACCCAAACGATTCTATTGTCAGTCTGGAGAAAACACTCCCTCACTGCGAAATATCAAGAATTATTTATAAGAGTTATTTTCTTAACTTAGACTATCTTCACCAAAAACCCAAATTTTGTTTTCAAGTCCTGGTTGCCTGATTTTAGCGTGCAGAGTGTGGAAGTCAATGGCAGACGAAAGTGCAACAACTGATTCTGAAACAGGTAAGTATTGTGTTTGCATCGAAATTTTGATTTTCTAACGATTCGGTCTTCTTTGCTTCTTATTCCTCCTTAGTATTACTTGGGGATTTATTGATCTCCAAGACTTATTTGGACTCTGTAGGTAACATCTCAATTTTCTTTATCTCTAAATATCGTGTGGGTTTCGTTAGGTTAACCAGCAATTGAGTTCGAAGAAGTTTTCACTGATGTTTCGTAAGAATATCAAAATGCCTAGAATCAACAAAGCTCAAACTTGAAAATCGTGAGGATCACACGACACACCAGCACAATTTTCTGCAATATACAAAATAAAAATATAACTTTATTTAAAAGGTAAAAAAATGACAAGCAACTGATTGCCATTTCTAGCCATGACATTTTTATTTAATGGAATCAATCAAAGACAGTTGAAAATTCTGTTAATGATGGGAAACCTTAAAAAAAATTAAATTTATCGTCTTAGCAATAAAAGATGATCACTTTTTCTTGGCAATTTTTCATCTGGCGTCACATGTACCTTTTCAGCTAATAAATGGTGTTAATACAACAGAAAAAACTTCGTTCTCATCAACAGGTCCTCAATTGAGCCTCACGGTTAAAGTGATTTTCACTTTGGCTTCGTCTGTTACCATCCTGGTGTCTGTGATTGGAAACTCATTAGTGATCTACATCGTATTCAAGAACCAAACCAAGAGAACATCAACCAACTGTCTAATAGTGAGCTTAGCTATAAGTGATGTTTTAATAACTATGATTCAGGCTCCCTTATTAATTTTGTACCTTTGCATTGGAGATGAAGCGAATGGCTCTTACCTGGGAAATGTTTCTGACATTTCTCGTAGAATGTTGGTGTTCGGAGTTTCTATATTACTTTATTCCTCAATTTTCAACATGGTTACCATCGCCATCGATCGATTTCTAGCCGTCATCCGACCACTGACATACAAAGTCTCATCAAAATGGCTGGTGAAAGTAGGGATTCCTCTCGTATGGTTGAGTTCATGTTTGCTATCACTAGAGGGTGTGTTGACACTACAAGATGGGAACGCTGAATCATCAAGTGGAAGAAGCCGTTTTGCACTGATTTCCTCCTTAGTATTTTTGGCCATCTCGTTGATCACGTTGATTGTCCTCTATTCAGTAATTTGTTATCGTCTTTGGAGAAGAAGCATTCCTGGCGAAGTTTCCAGTAATCAGCAAGCACTTGCTACTCGTACAGCACGGAAGGTCACCATATTAATGATTTTCATTGTAACCGTGTTTTTTCTTTCATGGGCACCAATTTTTATGTCAATGCTCGCAGAAGTAATTGAGATTAATTTCGCTTATGAGTCAATCATAAAAGAAAATCCATTTCTAACTGCTATAAGTTTCTGGTTAGTCGTAAACAACAGTGCTTGTAACTCGTGTTTGTATTTCCTATTTATCGAAAGCTTCCGTCAAGGTCTAAAATTATTATGTTCAAATTGTCGACCTCCTCGGTTAAGACTACGTAGGTTTCGATGGAAGTACGAAACAGGAGAACGAATTAGAAACAGGCAACCTGTGAACGTTCTGAATCCGGAGGAAAGGGCTGTTGAATTGAGGACATTCTGTAATACCCACATTACACAAGTTACACCTCTTCAACAGTAGAACATAAAGTTGAAATTGTGCATCAATTTCTTATGTGCGCAGTCCGCTCCATTTTACTTCATCTAACATGAAAAACATTTATCGTCCCTCGTAAAATCATGTCAACCGTCTATATCTGGTTGAGCATTTTGATTTTGTTTGTCTAAATAAAATGACGAACTAGTCCACAAAGGCATATGTGTTAGACTGTAACAAGTAAGATCAAAAGATTGTTCTTTTTATAATAAGTGACTGAATTCAGTTTGTGACAAGACTTGAGTGAGTCATCGAGCAGAAAAATTCAGGGTGAAAATGCAGCAGTAAATACTGAGAATGCTATTTAAAATTCAGGGATTGCTTATCACAACGAATGAAACAAGAACATCAGTGAAAAGGAATTGTAATCATTTACATTTTACAACGATGAAAATAGGGTAAGTAGCACATAGAGGTTTAATAAATGAGAGCTATTGTGTCTGTGTGTGTGTGTCAAGAAGACTTGATCCGGCAATAAAGAGCTTCGTAAGTTTGTAATATAATGCCGTGTAATGTATTCCTAAAACCAAGAACGTTGGTGGAAATTGATGTGACTTTAAGCCATCTGACTTTGCCGCGAACAAATCAATTTTGTTCCAATCCTGGTTCTCTCGAGGTTAGGCACTCGAGAAAGTTGTTTTTATCGTACTTCAGGGCTTGCTGTACAAAACACAGATTGAACAACTACAACAACGGAGACAATGAAGCTCATATAACACATTCATTGTTAAGGACGCGAAATCATTTCCTCAAGATTTCTGCTCAGGCACTCTCAGCGTTGGAGGCTTGCTACAAGTTTTGAAAAATACCATTTAGTTAATGATTATTTCGTTCCCTGATTGATTTCAGAGACTTATCCTAACTAAAAACTAAAAATGGATGATTAGATATTTTAATTTTTCTGTGAAATAATTTTTCGGTTTGTGACTGTGAATTAAAAATAACATATGCAGTTGAAAAGACCTCTGACAACTACATGTCTAAAATATGAGAAGTTTACGGAAGTTCAACTTTCGACCCATTAATGAACTGATTAATTGCTTTTCTGTACATTTTGCTCCTCGATATCTATTTTTAAGTCAAACAGCTCTTTAAGCTATGCAACCACCAGGGAATCGGCCATGATGCTTCACTGAGTTTTCGAAAATCAGTCGAAAACTTTGGCAGGCACCCTTAAAAATTTAGACATTTCCCTCAGTCACCAGTTTAGAATACTGTTATGGAGTTTACGGGAGAACCTTGGTAGCTTTTACAGATGGATCAGAATCAAAAATTTAAATCTAGCTATGACCTATTTGTTTTGAATTGAGTATCTACAAAGACTTTCATGCTTTGTAAATCCGGAATGAAATGAAATAGAAAAAGATCATGTTTTGTGAAAGCAATTCAATGCTTTATATTAAATATTGAATAGCAAAAGATTCAAGATTGCGAGAAATAAAAAACGATAAAATCCATTTCTCTTTGTCCTCCAAGTCTTTATTTTCCTTGAAATGTAAATAACAATATAGGGTCAAAAGGAAACCACTGATCGGCAAATCAGAAGGACAAGTCATACACAAAACGGCCCCGCTGTGTTCATTTGAGTTCTCATCCTCCCAGTAAACTGAAGCAATATGCTCATACATAGGCTCTGGTCTCGTGTTATTTGCCCAGTTCTCGTTTGCTGTGTGTTGGTCTCTTTTGCAGAGGATAATTCATCAAGGCTCAACGATACAAATCTAGGAAAAAGTAAGTTATCGAAACGTTTACTTCCCTTGTTCTCTTGGGGTACACAGGTATAGGAACAGAGAAATAGAACGAAAGCGCGGATGACTGACTACCATCTGATTCCATAGAAACATGTAATATGGCTTCGTTTTTAAGATTGGACATTTTGGGAAAGAACGTTACCGTTCAGAATGATTATTTTTCATGAGTTTTCATAGGAAACAATCCCTGCCGGCCCTGCAACATGAAAATGATTTATTCATTTAAGCCGTAAAAGACATACGAAGCTCATAGTTTACATAACTTGAGCGTTAAGTTTCCCGAACATCTCATCAGCGTTTAACTAAACTTTCTAGTAAAAATAATTCTGAAGACTACACCTAAGGAACACCCTTATTATCTCGAAAAGGGAAAGTGCTCAATTATTTTTCACGCCCTTTCGTGAAAGTGAGCAGTAATAAGTGATAAACTGTCGATGTTTTGTTTGCTCAATTACATAACAGGAGGGGGAGAATGCAATTTCCTGTGAGTCACATTAATTACATTTTACCTCAGGGAAGTTAAAAAATTTATTTTTCCTGAAAAATTGGGGGTAAGTAGACGCCATAAGAAATTATTTTTGGAAAAACAAATTTTTTACACGAGGATTGGGTGTTAAATTTATAACGGTCCATGATCTCATGATAAGACCAGCGGAAATGGACTCTTTTGTCAGGTATATCGATGAGCCTCTCCCGTGGATGCTAAAAATTAGCTTACTTTTCTCTCGCCAACTAATTAAAAACTTCTTAGATTTCCCTTATCTCTCAACAGATCCACAAAGCACCATCAATTTCCGATTTAGTCTACCAATGACAATAATTTTCGCCACAGCCATATTATTTAGCTTCGTGATGTCTGTGATAGGCAATTCTCTAGTGATTTGCATCATAGCCAAACAACAATATATGAAAACATCAACCAATTGTCTCATAATGAATTTGGCTGTTTGTGATATTTTGACCACTTTACTCCTGACACCAACTTTCACCAGAAGAATTTTTCTCGGCGGCAGATGGTTTGGCGGTGATATTGGAAGGGTCACTTGCAAAATAGTGGAATACGGGAACTCTTTTCCAATTTACTGCTCTCTTTTAAACCTAGTTGCAATCGCCATTGATCGATGTCTTGCCGTCACTCGACCACTATCTTACAAACTTTCATCAAAATGGCTGGTAAAGATTTCAATTCCTGTAATTTGGTTGATTTCACTTTCGTTACCAGTAGTGAGTCTGTCAGACACACAATTATTATACTTTGACGGTGACGTGTGGCCGAGATGTGAAGAGAAAAGCGGTCGAGGCTCTCTCGACTTTTACTTGGCGAAAGCTGCTTTAGTCGGCTCGTTTATCGCATTGATTACACTTTATTCAGTGATTTCTTATCGTCTTTGGAGAAGAAACATTCCTGGTGAGATGTCCAGCAATCAAAAGGAACTTGTTATTCGTACAGCACGAAAGGTCACCGTTTTAATGATATCAATTGTAGTTGTCTTTTTTGTTTCATGGGCACCAGCCTTTGCTTTTCTCATAATCGTCGAATTTGGAAACGCTGGTCCGACCTTTGGAGCAGTTTTAGTGCAACATCCCTTCTTATTTGCTATAAGTTACTGGCTTATTTGTAACAACAGCGCCTTTAACCCTTTGCTGTATTTCATATTTATTGAAAGTTTCCGTCAAGGCTTGAGATCGGCCTGTTTAAGATGTCGAGTTCCTCGATTCTCACCTCAGGAAAGGAGGGTCAAAACTGGACAAGAATTAACGAGGAATAGGTCAACTCTGGATACCATCAATAAGGAAGAAGGAAATATTGAATTGAAAGCATACTCTGTGTCAACAGTAATCTAGAATTGCATTGGTTTTGCTTTACTTTGCTCTGTGATTGGTCCAGAAACTTAACCAATCAGATCTGAAACAAAAACCAGTCCTGACTAGGTCGCTTACGTTTTCCCGCGCCTCAGGTCGGTTTGACTCTGTGGTCTCATTGGCTCTTAAAGGTTTTACCGTTTCTTCTGATTGGTCGTTGTGATAACTTAGGTTTTGGTTTTTAAGATAATCAATAATAACTGTAAGAGGTTTTGAACTGAGTAGATATTTTCTTGTGATGATAATACTAATAATAGTAATAATAACATTTACTTACTTATATAGCGAAGATATCAATTGGGGTATTTTCAACTGCACTTTACAAAAATAAAACCAGAAGTAACCAATACTGATAACTAATAAATACTGATATTATTGACCAGTTGACTGATATAAAAAAAATCATATACCGCATAAAAAAATAATCAAAATAATGTTGTAGGTTCTCAGTAGAAATGACAAACATATCAATCAACGAGGAATAAGACAATAAAATAAAATTTCAAGATAAACTATTTATGATAAATCAATTACCAGATTACGTACCCAAAGCCATTAAAAAAGATTTTTTATAATTTCTTAATATCTGTGCTTGTTGAGTTTCTAGTTGAAGGAGATAACACAATCCAAAGCTTAGGTGCAGCTGCTTTATAAGAACGTTCATGACTCAAATGACACTTTATAATATCCCATTACTGAGCGCAAGTTTCATCCACCCCTTCTTTTCGACCCAAAATTGAACTGATTTTTTTTTGTACGGAGAAATATGCAACCACCATGGTACTGGCCATGATGCATCAGATTTTGAAAAATTATTTGGTCTAGGTCTTGAAAATGCTGCCCTCGGCCTGCGGCCTCGAGGTCACAGTTTTTCACCATACGGACCGACCCTCAGCCGGTAAATAACATATTTATTTTTTTTAAACTTGACGAGATTCTTTCTGAAAGAACCCGAATGATTTAGGGCTTTAAATACGGCAAGATCTTCTATAAACTGAACAATTTTTGAGCGAGTAACTGGTTAAAATAGAGGTGATGCAAATTAAAGAGAGATGCCTCACCGAAACATTTTCATTTCCGCAACGATAAAGGTGATTTAAAGAGCTTCTTAACAAACTTTGAAACATTATTTTTACAAGTATCTGTCACCATCTGACACCTGTCAATTAGAGAGCGCGTAAGAAAAAAAAAAGCGTAAGAAGATTTGAACAACGGAACTAGTTTGGCTAAGACTGTCACGACAATGTTTTCTTCAAAAACAGTTGATGACCTAACGGAAAGTATTACTCACTCTCATCGACGATTCATTCATGTAGGAAGATTTACCTCTGTTCGTTAAGTAAACGGCGAGGAAAGTAATTGTCAGTAAATTTAAGTTTTTTATTTTGAAGTTGTGAGAGTTTGTTCGTTTGTTTGCTGCAATGGCGTGAGTAAATCTGATCTTTCCTCCACAAAAACTAAATTCGAATGGCACACTCCAACGAAACACACAGGGATTTAATGCGGCCTTTTTTCAATAAATTCCTTCAGTTTCTGTTGTGTAATTTACGGTACAAATGTCCAAATTGAACGGACTTGGAAAGAATCACCGAGAGCGTTTATTTGTTGTAGAACTTAAATTAAAACTTCGCTCGCTCTTTCATTACGAACAAATTGTTTGAGAAAATTCAGATATTAAATTAATGAAAGTTCTATCGTTCAGTTTAACTGTAACCAAACACTTCACGTTTTAACTTTCTACGTACTTTTTGTGAACGATTAAAGTTAATTGCAAACGGTTTTTAGGCCGCCTGTCAACCAACGTAATGACACTATTGCTTATACAAATTCATTCTGAAACCAATATTTTTCTGTCAACCAAAGTGATTTGGGAGAAAGAAAAGAGAGGATTTCTAAATTATTTATCGGCTTGAGGTAGTGACCGACGTGTTTGCTTAAAAATACTACCTAGTCGGAAAAACGAGATATATTTATGAAAAATGGCAACGAAAGTTGGAATGTACTTGGCGATTCACGAAAGCGTTACCGTGGCCCGTGGGCAGAGATAGGAAAATACTGACCGGGTAAAGAACCAATCAGATTGCAGGATTCGTTACCGTGCCCTCTAAAAAAAATAAATTTCAGTTAGTATTCAGTAGAGAGGAGTTTGATCGATTTGTTTTCCTCGATCTTCTAAACGTTAGGACAACGTCAAAAAGTCGGTTTTTAAAGCATTTTTTAACTGAACTCACTCAGTTTTAATATTAATTCAGGTCAAGTAAGAACGCTTCGTTGATGGAGTTGATTGAAGTTCCACAATGGATCTTCTCCATGCTAATGGCATGACTATCTTGAGGGATTATCGAGAAAGAAAGGGAAACAGCCAAGCTTCCAAATTCAACGAGTCTTAAACCTCAAATCTAATATAATGCATCTTTGCGTATCAAAACATTTTCTCGAACAGGTCCCAGTTGTGCAGAGATCTTTATGAATATTTGATAAGCCTCCTTTATTAATACGGCTTAAAAATTTACATATTTCCCTCATTTTTCATAAGCCAAGGCAATTGAGCGTTGAGATGGTGAGGTCTACAGGAGAACTTTTTTTAGCTTTTACAAATGGATCAGTGCTGAGTATTTGATTTTATTTATTTATTTAGAGTATCTACAAATTATTCTTACTTTGTGAATCCGAAATTAAATAAAAAGAGAAAATGATAATTTCCTGTAAAATCATTAATATTCAAGACTGCAATAAAAAAGCTATAAAATCTATTTCTCTTTGTCCTTCAAGTCTTTTTTTTGAGAAATGTAAATAAACAATATACCGTCAAAAGTCAAACCACTGTTCGGTTAATCAGAAGGCCGTGAAATCATAAATATACAAAACGGCGTTGCTGTGTTCATTTGAGCCCTCATCCTCCCTAACACATAAAATGTGGTTTCGTGTTGTTTGCCCAATTCTCGTGTGCTATGTGTGGGTGTCCTTTGCAGAGGAAAACTCATCAAGCCTTAACGATACAAATCTACAGAAATGTAAGTTATCAAAACGTTTATTTCCTTTGATCACTTTCCGTAAATAAAGGAATACAGCCAGGAAGACTGACTTGCACCCGATCCAACAGAAACCTATAAAACAGCTTCGTTTTTAAGAGTGAAAATTTTGGGGAGGAACGTTACCGTTCAGAATGATTAATTTGCATAAGTTCAGTTTTCATTAGAAACAATCCCTTCCAGCCTTCAGCGTGAAAATGCCTTTCTCGTTCGCTGGCTCCGTGGTTTATTTAAACCATAAAAGACCTACGAAGCTCATAGTTTACATGACTTGAACTTTAAGTTTCCCAAACATCTCACCAGCGTTTTACTTCAGTCTATTTTAGTAAAAATAATTCTGGAGACTAAACATAAGGAACACGCTCATTATCCCGAAGAGGAAAGCGCTCAAGCATTTTTTCACTCCTAATCGCTGGAGCGTTTTGAGCAGTAATAAGCGATAAGCTGCCAGTGTTTTGTTTGTTCAGTTTACATAACAGAAGATGGAAAATATAATTTCCTGAGAGTCCCGTTAATTGCATTTTACCCTAAGAAAGGTTAAAAAAAAACTTTAATTTTCCAAAAAAACTTTGGTTCAGTAAACGTTGAAAGAAATGATCAGTTTTAAAAAACTTTTTTTTAAATAAGGATTGGGTGTTAAATTTACTTTGCATCACTGATTTTGTACTCTAAATAAAAAGCCCAGAGATAATAGACTCTATGTCGGCTACATCAATGAGCCACTGCCATTGATGTTTAGAATAAGCTTGCTTTTCTCTCGTAGATTCACTCAAAATGCACGAATTTCCTCATTTCTCAGCAGATCAACAAAGCATCATCGATCTCCAATTCAGTTTACCAACGACAATAATTCTCGCCACAGCCATATTATTTAGCTTTGTGATGTCTGTGATAGGCAACTCTCTCTCTCTTGTGATTTGCATCATAGCCAAACAACAGTCCATGAAAACATCAACCAATTGTCTAATACTGAATTTGGCTGTTTGTGATATCTTTATCACTGTACTCCTGACACCAAATTTCATCAAAATAGTTTTTCTTGGAGGCAAATGGTTTGGTGGTGTTTTGGGAAGCTTCACTTGTAAAATGTTGGAATACGGAAACTCTGTTACACTTTACTGCTCTCTTTTAAACCTAGTTGCTATTGCCATTGATCGATGCCTTGCCGTCACTCGTCCACTATCTTACAAACTTTCATCAAAAAGGCTGGTAAAGATTTCAATTCCTGTCATGTGGTTGATTTCATTTTCATTACCCATAGGAAGTCTGTCGAACACACAATTATACTATGAGGGTGATATGAGGCCGAGATGTGAAGAATTAAGGGATCAAGGCTCTCTTGACTTCTACATTATGGTGGCTACTTTAACGAGCTCATTTATCGCAATTATTACGCTTTATTCAGTGATTTCTTATCGTCTTTGTAGAAGAAACATTCCTGGTGAGATTCCCAGCAATCAAAAGGATCTTGTTATTCGTACAGCACGAAAGGTCACTATTTTAATGATTTCAATTGTATTTGTCTTTTTTGTTTCATGGACACCAGCCTTTGCTTTTCACATAATCCTCGAATTTGGAAACGCTGGTCCGACCTTTGGAGAAGTTTTAACGCAATACCCCCTTTTATTTGCTATAAGTTACTGGCTTATTTGTAACAACAGCACCTTTAATCCCTTGCTGTATTTCATATTTATTGAAAGTTTCCGTCAAGGCTTGAGAACGGCATGTTCAAGATGTCGTGTTCCTCGATTCTCACTGCAGGAAAGGAGGTTCAAAACTGGACAGGAATTAACGAGGAATAGGCCAACTCTGGATATCATCAATAAGGAAGAAGGAAACATTGAATTGAAAGCATACTCTGGGCAAAACCTATGAGTGGGAGTGTCTTCCTTTAAGCATAAAACGTTCGTAATTTATCTGTGTGACCATGCACAAGAGTATGAAAGAAGACCTCTCAGACTTAAGATAACGTTTGAATGTTTTCCTTCGGCAGTATTATGTAAGCGTAAGTAGGTGGAAAAAGTGAGCCATGTATATTCCACTCCTTCTCTGTTTAAAGAGATGAACTTTCTTCTGAAAAAATCGGAATGTCATAAGTATTTCAGAATTGCTTTGGTTTTGCTCTTCTTTGCTCTGTGATTGGTCTACAAACCTTGCGCCACTTTCTCAACCAATCAGATATAAAACAAAAACCAATCCCGACTTGGTCGCTCGCGTTTTCCAGCGCTTCAGGCTGTTTGGTTGGTTTAACGTTGAGTTCTCATCTTAAAAGTTTTTTACTTTCTTCTGATTGGTTTTTGAGATAACTTAGGTTTTGGTTTTAAGCGAATCAATAACAATTACAAGAAGTTTTAAACTAAATAGACATTTTCTTGTAATAGTTATAAAAATAATAATACTAACAAAAATTTATTTAAAGTTATATAGCGCAGATATCAATTGGGATATTTTCATCTCCACTTTACAAAAATAAAACTAAAAGTAACCAATACTAATAACAGATAAATAGAGATATTATTAACTAATATAAACAAAATAATATACCTTACAAAGTGATTAATATATCAATCTACGAGAAATACGCCAATGAAATAACATTTCAAGATAAAATTTTTTGTGATATATCAATTTATGAACCCTAAATTATTGAAAAAGCTTTCTTAAATAAAAAGGCCTTTTGCAATTTCTTAAATATATCTATGTTTGTTGAGCTTCTGATCGAAGGAGACAACACAATGCAAAACTTAGGTGCAGCTGCTACGAAAAACGTTCATGACTCAAATGATACTTTATAATATCTCATTATTGAGTGTTAGTTATATCCACACCACTATGGTACTGACCATGATGCTTCAGATTTTGAAAAATGATCTGTGAGTTAGTTTTAGTGTAGCTAAAATCAGTTGTTTGCAGTTGAAATGATGTCTTTTGCAAACGATAAAACAACACAAGATCAGTGACAAGAGGATGGAATAATTTTACTTTGCCAATATCTTTGCAGTCAGACCTTAGCAAGTCATGATCTTAATAAATTTCAGATATTCAGTTAAAGAGGAGTGTTGATCGATTTGTTTTCCTCGATCTTTTAAACGATAGCACAACGTCAAAAAGTCGTTTTTTTAAAGCATTTTTTGACCGAACTCGCTCAGTTTGTACATTAATTCTAGTCATAGTGAGGTAACGGCGTCTTCGTTGATCAAATTGATTGTAGTTACGCGATGGATCTCATCAATTCTAATGGCATGACTATCTTGAGGGGATTTCGAGAAAGAAGGAGGATCAGCCAAACTTCAAAATTTAATGAGTCTTAAAAGACTTCTTCAACGCCGATACCAGCAGAACCTCAGACCTAATATAAAGCTTCTTCGCATATTAACACATTTTCTCGAACAGGTTTAAGTTCTGCAGAGAACTTTACAAAAATTTGATGAGTCCTCTTAATAAATAAGGTTTAAAAATTTACATATTTCCCTCATTTTTCACTCGCTGAGGCAATTGAGTGTTGAGATAACGAGGTATAGAGTATAATTTTTTAAAGCTTTTTAGAAACGGATCAGTTATGAGTATTTGATTTTATTTATTGACAGAGCATCTGAAGAGTTTTCTTACTTTGCAAATCCGAAATTAAAAAACAAGAGAAAGTGACAATTTTTATTTCCCCTTGTCGTTCAAGTCTCATTATTCCTTGAAATGTAAATAAACAACATACAGTCAAAAGTAAACCGCTGTTCGATTAATCAGTAGGACAAATCAAATACAAAACGGCAATGCTGTGTTAATTTGAGTCCTCGTTCACCCGGCAAGCCGAAGCACCATGCTAACACATAAAATGTGGTTTCGTGTTGTTTGCCCAATTATCATGTTCTATGTGTGGGTGTCCTCTGCAGAGGAAAACTCATCCAGCCTTAACGATACAAATCTACGGAAATGTAAGTTATCAAAACCTTTATTTCCTTTGTTCACTTGCGGTAGACAGATTTAGGAATACAGCGAGGAAGACTGACTTGTATCCCATTCCATAGAAACATGTAATGTGGTTCCGTTTTTAAGAGTGATTATTTTTGGGAGGAACACTGCCGTTCAGAATGATTATTTTGCATGAGTTTATTTTTCATTTGAAACAATCCCTGCCGGCCCTGCAGCGCGAAAATACTTTTATCGTTCTCTTAATGATTCATCCATTTAAACCGTGAAAGACCTACGAAGCTCATAGTTTACATGACTTGAGCTTAAAGTTTCCCAGACATCTCACCAGTGTTTCACTTCAGCCTTTCAGTAAAAATAATTCTGGGGACTACACATAAGGAACACGCTCATTATCCCGAAGGAAGCAAGCGCACAAGTGTTTTTTCACTACCAGTAGTTAAATTATTTTGAGAAGTAATAAGTGATAAGCTGCCAGTGATTTGTTTGTTCAATTTACATAACAGAAGGTGGAAAATTTAATTTCCTATGAGTCCCGTTAATTAGATTTTACCTCAAGAAAGATTAAAATAACTTTAATTTTCCTTAAAAAAAATTTGTCAAGTAAACGTTATAAGAGATAATTTTTGAAAACACTTTTTTTTAAAATGAGGATTGGGTGTTAATTTCACTCTACATTACTGACTTTACACTTTAAATAAAAAGGCCCAGAGATAATAGCCTCCTGTGTCGGGTATATCAATGAGCCACTCCCCTTGATGCTGAATGTGAGCTTGCTTTTCCCTTGTAGATTCATTCATAATGCATGAATTTTCATCATTTCTCAACAGATCTACCAAGCACCATCGATCTCCAATTCAGTTTACCAACGACAATAATTTTCGCCACAGCCATATTATATAGCTTCGTGATGTCTGTGATAGGCAACTCTCTTGTGATTTGCATCATAGTCAAACAACAATCCATAAAAACATCAACCAATTGTCTTATACTGAACTTAGCTGTTTGTGATATCTTGACCACTGTTCTCCTGACACCAGTTTTCATCCAAATATTTTTTCTTAGAGGCAAATGGTTTGGTGGTGTTATGGGAAGCTTCACTTGTAAATTTGTGGAATACGGAAACTCTGTTACACTTTACTGCTCTCTTTTAAACCTTGTTGCCATCGCCATTGATCGATGCCTTGCCGTAACTCGACCACTATCTTACAAACTTTCATCAAAATGGATGGTAAAGATTTCAACTCCAGTCATGTGGTTGATTTCATTTTCATTACCAATAAGAAGTCTGTCGAACACACAATTAATATACTTTGACGGTGATGTGTGGCCGAGATGTGAAGAAATAGGGGAGCGAGGCTCTCTTGACTTCTACATTATGGTGGCTACTTTAACGAGCTCATTTATCGCAATTATTACGCTTTATTCAGTGATTTCTTATCGTCTTTGGAGAAGAGACATTCCTGGTGAGATGCCCAGCAATCAAAAGGAACTTGTTATTCGTACGGCACGAAAGGTCACTATTTTAATGATTTCAATTGTAGTTGTTTTTTTTGTTTCGTGGGCACCAGCCTTTGCTTTTCTCTTAATCCTCGAATTTGGAAACGCTGGTCCGACCATTGGAGAAGTTTTAATGCAATATCCATCTTTATTTGCTACAAGTTTCTGGCTCATTTGTAACAACAGCGCCTTTAACCCTTTGCTGTATTTCATATTTATTGAAAGTTTCCGTCAAGGCTTGAGATCGGCCTGTTCAAGATGTCGTGTTACTCGATTCTCACCGCAGGAAAGGAGGTTCAAACCTGGACAAGAATTAACGAGGATTAGGCCAACTCTGGATATCATCAATAAGGAAGAAGGAAACATTGAATTGACAGCATACTCTGGACACAACTTATGAGTGGAAGTGTCTTCCTTTAAGTATAAAACGTTCGTAATCTAGCCGTGTGGTGTGCACAGCAGTATGAAAGAAGACCTTTCAGGCTTTACATAACGTCGAATGTTGTTCTTCAGTGGTATTATATAAGAGTAAACAGGTTGAAAATTTGAACCATGTAAATACCACTCCTTCTCTGTTTAAAGAGATGAACTTTTCACTGCATTGGAGAAGTTTCAATGGAGTGTCAAAAGTTATCTAGAATTGCTTTAGTTTTGCTTTACTTTGCTCTGTGATTGGTCCACAAACCTTACGCCACTTTCTCAACCAGTCAGATGTAAAACAAAAACTAATCCTGACTTGGTTGCTCGCGTTTTCCCGCGCTTCAGGCCGTTTAGTCGGTTTAACTTTGTGTTCTCATTGGCTCTTAAAGGTTTTTTTTCCATTCTTCTGATGGGTCGTTGTGATAACTAGGGTTTTGGTTTTGCGACAATCAATAATAACTAAAAGAAGCTATGAACTGAGTAGATATTTCCTTCTGATTATAATAATAATAATAATAATGATAATAATGATAGTAAAATTCATTAACTTATATAGCGCAGATATCAATTGCAGTATTTTCATCTGCATTTTGTAAAAATAAAACTAAAAGTAACCAATACTAATAATAAATAAATACTGATATTATTGACTAATATAAACAAAATAACATACCGTGTAAAATGTAATCAAAATAATATGTAGCAGGTTCTCAATAAAAATGATAAATATATCAATCAACGAGAAATAAGCCAATAAAATTTCGAGAGAAAACTATTCATGATAAATCAATTAGTAGATTACGAACCCAAAGCTATTGAAAAAGCTCTCTTAAATAAAAATTAGAGATCTTGTGTAATTTCTTAAATGTATCTGCTTGTTGAGCTTCTAATTGAAAGAGACAACATAAGCTAAAGCTTAGGTGTAGTTGCTGTGAAAGAACATTCATGACTCAAATGACACTTTATAATATCTCATTATCGAGCCTAAGTTATATCCACCCCTACTCCTCTACCCCTGCTCTTCGACCCAATATTGAACTGATTGATTTTTTGTACATTTTGATCCTTAACATTTATTTTTTCGACGAAATACGCCATGATGTTTCAGGTTTCGAATAAAGATCTTTAAGTTAGTTTTAGTGTAGCTGATAAGTCGGTTGTTTGCAGTTGATATGATGTATTTTGTACATGATAAAACAAATCCAGATCAGTGACAGGTGGATAGAATCATTTTACTTTAGCAATATTGCTTTAGTCAGACCTTAGCAAGTCATGATCCCAATAAATTTCAGTTATTATTCAGTTAAAGAAATATTTTTAATCGATTTTTCTTTGATCATTTAAACGATAGGACAACGTCAAAACGTTGGTTTTAAAACCATTTTTTAACCGAACTCGCTCAGTTTGTACATTAATTCTAGTCATAGTGAAGTAAGGGCGTCTTCGTTGATCAAGTTGAACCGTAGTTCCACGATGGATCTCATCAATGCTAATGGCATAACTATCTTGAAGGGGTATTGAGAAAGAAGGATAATCGACCAAACTCCAAAATTCAACGAGTCTTAAAAGACATCTCTAACGCCGGTACCAGCAGAACCTCAAATCTAAGATAATGCATCCTTTTCTCGAACAGGTTTCAGTTCTTTGGAGAGCTTTATGAAATATGATAAGCCCTTGTATCAATAAGGTTTGAAAATTCACATATTTCCCTTATTTTTCACTAGCTGAGGAAATTGAGTGTTGGAGGTCTACAAGGGAACTTTTTAAACTTTTTAAAAATGGATCAGTGCTGAGTATTTGATTTAATTTATTGTCAGAGTATCTACAGAGAATTTTCTTATTTTGTAAATCCGAAATGAAATAAAAGAGAAAATCTTAATTTTCTGTAAAAGCATAAATATTCAAGACTGCAATAAAAAAGCGATAAAATCTATTTCTCTTTGTCCTTCAAATCTTTTTTCCTAGAAATGTAAATAAACAATGTACCGTCAAAAGCAAACCATTGTTCGCTTAATCAGAAGGACAAATCATAAATATATAAAACGGCATTGCTGTGTTCATTTGAGTCCTCATCCTCCCGCTAAACTGAAGCATTATGCTGACACATAAAATGTTTTCTCGTGTTGTTTGTCCAATTCTCGTGTGCTATGTGTGGGTGTCCTTTGCAGAGGAAAACTCATCAAGCCTTAACGATACAAATCTACGGAAAGGTAAAAGTTATGAAAACGTTTATTTCCCTTGTTCACTTGCGGTAGACAGATAAAGGAATACAGCCAGGAAGACTAACTTGCATTCGAATCCACCGTGAAACCTTTAATATGACTTTGTTTTTAAGGGTAAACATTTTGGGGAAGGAACGTTACCGTTCAAAACGATTATTTAGTACGAGTTCAGTTTTCATTAGCAACAATCCCTGCCAAACTTGCAACGTGAAAATGCGTCTATCGTTCTCTGATTGATTCATTCATTTGAGCCGTAAAAGACCTGCGAAGCTTATAGTTTACATGACTTGAGCTTTAAGTTTCCCAAACATCTCACCAGTGTTTCACTTCAGCTTTTTAGTAAAAAGAATTCTGGAGACTACACATTTGGAACACGCATATTATCCCGAAGAGGCAAGCGCTCAAGTATTTTTTCGAAGATGTCGTGTTCCTCGATTCTCACTGCAGGAAAGGAGGGTCAAAACTGGACAAGAATTAACCAGGATTAGGCCAACCTTGGATATTACCAATAAGGAAGAAGAAAACATTGAATTGACAGCATACTCTGGACACAACTTATGAGTGGAAGTGTCTTCCTTTAAGTATAAAACGTTCGTAATCTAGCCGTGTGGTGTGCACAGCAGTATGAAAGAAGACCTTTCAGGCGTTACATAACGTTTGAATGTTGTTCTTCAGTGGTATTATATAAGAGTAAACAGGTTGAAAATTTGAACCATGTAAATACCACTCCTTCTCTGTTTAAAGAGATGAACTTTTCACTGCATTGGAGAAGTTTCAATGGAGTGTCAAAAGTAATCTAGAATTGCTTTAGTTTTGCTTTACTTTTATGGTCCACAAACCTTACGTCACTCTCTTTACTACCGGTAATCAGATGTAAAACAAAAACCAATCCCGACCTGGTCGCTCGCGTTTTCCCGCGCTTCAGGCCGTTTGGTCGGTTTAACTTTGTATTCTCATTGGCTCTTAAAGGTTTTTTTCCATTCTTCTGATAGGTCGTTGTGATAACGAGGGTTTTGGATTTAGGACAATTAATATCAGTTATAAGAGGCTATGAACTGAGTAGATATTTTCATATGATGATAACAACAATAATACTGATAATAATAATAATAATGATAATAATAATAATAATAATGAAATTTATTAACTTATATAGCGCAGATATCAATTGCAGTATTTTCATCTGCACTTTGCAAAAATAAGACTAAAAGTAACCAATACTAATAACAAATAAATACTGATATTATCGACTAATATAAACAAAATAACATACCGTGTAAAAATGTGATCAAAATAATTTGTAACAGGTTCTCAATAAAAATGATAAATATATCAATCAACGAGAAATAAGCTATAAAATTTCAAGATAAAACTATTTTCGATAAATCAATTACTAGATTACGAACCAAAAGCTATTGAAAAAGCTCTCTTAAATAAAAAGATCCTGTGTAATTTCTTAAATATATCTATGCTTGTTGAGCTTCAAATTGAAAAAGACAACATAATCTAAAGCTTAGGTGCAGCTGCCATGAAAGACCGTTCATGACTCAAATGACAGTTTATAATATTTCATTATTGAGCCTAAGTTATATCCACCCCTACTCCTCTACCCTTGCTCTTCGACCCAATATTGAACTGATTGATTTTTTGTACATTTTGATCCTTAACATTTATTTTTTCGACGAAATACGCCATGATGTTTCAGATTTCGAATAAAGATCTTTGAGTTAGTTTTAGTGTAGCTGATAAGTCGGTTGTTTGCAGTTGATATGATGCATTTTGTATATGATAAAACAATCCAGATCAGTGACAGGTGGATAGAATCATTTTACGTTAGCAATATCGCTTTAGTCAGACCTTAGCAAGTCATGATCCCAATAAATTTCAGTTATTATTCAGTTAAAGAAATATTTTTAATCGATTTTTCTTTGATCATTTAAACGATAGGACAACGTCAAAACGTTGGTTTTAAAACCATTTTTTAACCGAACTCGCTCAGTTTGTACATTAATTCTAGTCATAGTAAAGTAAGGGCGTCTTCGTTGATCAAGTTGATTATAGTTCCACGATGGATCTCATCAATGCTAATGGCATGGCTATCTTGAGGGGGTATCGAGAAAGAAGGACAATCAACCAAACTTCAACGAGTCTTTAAAGACATCTCTAACGCCGGTACCAGCAGAACCTCAAATCTAAGATAATGCATCCTTGAGTTTCTTAACATTTTCTCGAACAGGTTTTAGTTTTTTAGAGAATGTTATGAAAATATGATAAGCCCCCTTAATTAATAAGGTTTGAAAATTCACATATTTCCCTTATTTTCACTGGCTGAGGAAATTGAGTGTTGAGATAATAAGGTTTACAGGAGAACTTTTTTAAACTTGGATCAGTGCTGAGTATTTGATTTTATTTATTGTCAGAGTATCTACAGAGATTTTCCTATTTTGCAAATCCTAAATGAAATAAAAGAGAAAGTGATAATTTTCTGTAAAAGCATAAATATTCAAGACTGCAATAAAAAAGCGATAAAATCTATTTATCTTTGTCCTTCAAGTCTGTTTTTCCTAGAAATGTAAATAAACAAGGAGGACAAATCATAAATATACAAAACGGCATTGCTGTGTTCATTTGAGTCCTCATCCTCCCGCTAAACTGAAGCATTATGCTGACACATAAAATGTTTTCTCGTGTTGTTTGTCCAATTCTCGTGTGCTGTGTGTGGGTGTCCTTTGCAGAGGAAAACTCATCAAGCCTTAACGATACAAATCTACGGAAAGGTAAGTTATGAAACCGTGTGTTTCCCTTGTTCACTTGCGGTAGACAGATAAAGGAATACAGCCAGGAAGACTGACTTGCATCCGAATCCACCGTGAAACCTTTAATGTGACTTCGTTTTTAAGGGTGAACATTTTGGGGAAGGAAAGTTACCGTTCAAAACGATTATTTTTTATGAGTTCAGTTTTCATTAGAAACAATCCCTGCCAACCTTGCAGCGTGAAAATGCGCCTACAGTTCTCTGATTGATTCATTAATTAAAGCCGCAAAAGACCTACGAAGTTCATAGTTTACATGATTTGAGCTTTTAGTCTCCCAGACATCTCACCAGCGTTTTACTTCAGCTTTTCAGTAAAAATAATTCTGGAGACTACACATAAGGAACACGCTCATTATCCCGACGAAGGCAAGCGCTCAAGTATTTTTTCACTCCTAGTAGTTAAATTATTTTGAGCACTAATAAGTGGTAAGTTGCCAGTGATTTGTGTTCAATTTACACAACAGAAGGTGGAAAATGTAATTTCCTGTGAGTTTCGTTAATTGCATTTTACCCCATGAAAGGTTAAAAAAAACTTTAATTTTCCCCAAAAAAATTTTGGTTAAGTAAACGTTATAAGAAATGATTTTTGAAAAAACATCTTTCTTAAAAAAGGATTGGATGTTAAATTTGCTTTGCATTACTGACTTTAAACGGTTGTGAATATATGAAAGTCATATATTTGAACTGCGGATAAAGACGTGAATATGAAAGCGATCTTCGCAGTAATGAACACTACTTGAGCAGTTGTGAAAAGAAGACCTGAAAAAAAAATTCAGGCCTGTACGGGATTTGAACCCATGACCTCTGCGATATTGGTGCAGCGCGAAGATCGCTTTCATATTCACGTCTTTATCAGTCCGCAGTTCAAATATATGAATTTCATATATTCACAGTCGTTTATTCACTACTTCACGGGTTAACTTGGATCCAACATAATGACCAGCTCCCAGCTAACTTGTTAGTTCAGTTAGTAGAGCGCTACACCGGTATCGCAGAGATCATGGGTTAAAATCCCGTACAGGCCTGAATTTTTTTTCAGGCCTTCTTTTCACTACTGCTCTAGTAGTGTTCATAACTGCGAAGATCACTTTCATATTCACATTACTGAATTGTACTCTAAATAAAAAGGCCCAGAGTTAATAGACTCCTATGTAAGCTATATCGATGAGCCACTTCCCTTAATGCTGGAAAAAATCTTGCTTTTCTCCTGTAGATTCATTCAAAATGCATGAATTTTCTTCATTTCTCAACAGATAAACAAAGCACCATCGATTTCCAGTTCAGTTTACCAACGACAATAATTCTCGCCACAGCTTTATCATTTAGTCTCGTGATGTCTGTGATAGGCAACTCTCTTGTGATTTGCATCATAGCCAAGCAACGATCCATGAAAACACCAACCAATTGTCTTATACTGAACTTGGCCGTTTGTGATATTTTGACCAGTGTACTACTGACACCACATTTCATCCAAATGATATTTCTTGGAGGCAAATGGTTTGGTGGTGTTTTGGGAAGCTTTACTTGCAAAATGTTGGAATACGGAAACTCTGTTACACTTTTCTGCTCTCTTTTAAACCTTGTTGCTATCGCCATTGATCGATGTCTCGCCGTAACTCGACCACTATCTTACAAACTTTCATCACAATGGATGGTAAAGATTTCAATTCCTGTCATGTGGTTGATTTCATTTTCATTGCCTATAGGAAGTCTTTCGAACACACAATTATTATACTATGACGGTGATGTGTGGCCAAGATGTGTAGAAAATTATGATCGCAGCTCTGTTGACTTGTACTTATCGGTAGCTACTGTAGTAGGCTCGTTTATAGCATTGATTACGCTTTATTCAGTGATTTCTTATCGTCTTTGGAGAAGAAACATTCCTGGTGAGATTCCCAGCAATCAAAAGGAACTTGTGATTCGTACAGCACGAAAGGTCACTATTTTAATGATATCAGTTGTAGTTGTCTTCTTTGTTTCATGGGCACCAGCTTTTGTTGTTCTTCTTATCTTGGTCTTTGGAAACGCTGGTCCGACGTTTGTAGCAGTTTTGATGCAACACCCCCTTTTATATGGTATAAGTTTCTGGCTCATTTGTAACAACAGCGCCTTTAACCCTTTGCTGTATTTCATATTTATTGAAAGTTTCCGTCAAGGCTTGAGATCGGTCTGTTCAAGATGTCGCGTTCCTCGATTCTCACTGCAGGAAAGTGGACAAGAATTAACGAGGATTAGGCCAACTCTGGATATCATCAATAAGGAAGAAGGAAACATTGAGTTGACGGCGTACTCTGGGTACAATTCATGAGCGGGAGTATATCTCTTGAAGCATAAAACGTTAGTATAATTCAGCTGTTTGGTCTTCCAATTAATTTGGAAGGAAGCCTTCAGATCAGATAATCTTTCGATTTTGTTCCTTAGTAGGTTTAGATACAGTTTCTTCTTAGAAGAACTTTACCTTTTAAAATTTTGTTGACAGGTTATTAGTATCAGAGACAGAATGTTTCTGAGTCTTCAATAGTTTGCATTATACTATGTCTGATCGGTTGAACCATACCTGACTCCAATGATGATTCAGGCAACAAATAGTATCATTAAATCTGATAAGTTATTGTTTACAACTGCAGGCTCCCTCTCGCTTTAAATCAGTGTAGGACAGACTTCTCTAATAAGTGCTCTTAGTTCTATAGTGTATTTACTGCTTTTCACCACATAAATTTAAAGCAAAATCATTCACTTCTTGTTATTAAGTGGAGTTTTAACGGGGGTATTTGAAGTAAGTTTACTTTGGTTAACTGCATCATTTATCACATACGTTGTACTATATAATCAACAGTCCAATTGTTGTACCCAAATGGATAGAACCATCCCGGAAAGAAGGCTCTTTTATCATGCGTCGTTTTGCTGCTTTTTTCTGTCTCATTCTCCACTTATACCGCTTTCTCAGTCAAAAATATTTCCCCATAGGTGCTTCCTCTACCTAAAATAGTTCAGTCAAAGCCGGTCAGGTTTCATTGGAATTGGAGCAAAATTAGACATTTTCCTACTGGATCAAAGGGTGGACTATCTTTTATAAACTCAAGGTCTTATCCGTGGCCTCATTTCTCAATCAAATAACCCTATCATGATGTTCATAAACGGAATAATTATTCAAGAAAGAACATAATTTAAAATAACAGCATTCAGCTCTCACTCTCGGCCTGCAAAGTACACCCAGAAGCGGTAACTATTCTGCATTTCTTCATGCTCTTTCAAAATGCAATCCAGAATATAGGAAAACTTGTTCGAGCGGAAATCTGCGAGATGAACCCAATGAGTATGTCCGGGTCGTGATCCTGCCCCTTTAAACTTCCCATCTTGTTGACATGTGGTTGTTTTTGCCCTTCCTTTTGGCACTTCGGGCTAAATGTCAAAACCTATCTATTGGCACAGCAATATTTATTTGGGTTTAGCCAAGAAGTAAGATAGTCTTGCAATAGCTTTTTTGATCATTTCCTTTTCGTTCGGAGATTTTCTCGCAGAACTAAAAATAGTAACTAATAGCCCCAGAAGAAGAAATAACTTGATGTCTGCAAGGTTTTGTCACTTTTGTCACGCAATTCACAATGACTCAGACGAGAATGATTTTTGTTTGTTGTATGTTATCAAAGCATTAAAAGAATACCTCACAACGCGATGTTTTCTTTACTGTTTTCCTCTTTGTCTAAGGAAACTATCTTGACAACACAAAAAGGTAAAAAATAAACAATTAGCGAGGACAGAAATGATGAAGACCCCCGATGAGAAGGGGCGTCACCTTAAGCCGTCAACCTACAGTGTCACGCGCTAGTCAGTGCTCTTTCCCCTCCATCGCAGCATGTTTATGGAATAATCTACACAGAATAACCTAATTCGCCTTGGAATCAAGACTTCGTAAAATGGTGATGGGTATTTATCTAAAGATCCTTTTGAGCTGCGAGTTTTTCCTTCTGCTTAACTGCAACGCGATGGAAGGTTAGTTACAGTGTAAAAATCCTTTTGCATCCTGGAAGAAAAATATTACACAGCGTGCAGCATATTCTGCTCTCGGTTTACTTCGATTTTCTTCGGTTAAAAGTTTACCTACTGAATGCCAAATACATTCTATATCTCATGTATAAAGGGAAGCCGTACCTTACCATAGCAAGCTTTATTTCAATACTTAGTCCGTAGGAATAAAGATGAAAATTCTTCAGTTCTTGCAAATATTAACTAACCTCCACGCAGTCATATCACAGCACGATATTCATTGTTAATCGACGATAAATTCTTGTTATGCGGCAAATCCTAATTTTCTAGTAGCGAGTGCAAATTATTTTCCCGGCTTGAAATAAATGAGAAATTTTCAAATTCCTTTATTGACGTATTACTGAGTTGATATTATATAATCTGCCTTATAAAATTTAAGTTGATGATGAGTGTTAATATTTTTTCTACTGTCATCACAAAGGGCGTTCACAAAGTAAATGTTCTTTTGCCAAAAGTGGACCTAAATATATGTGTATTTCGGTGCTTTTTGTTTTGTGTTGTTATCATTTTTGCCTTTCGAGGGCAAAACTTTAGGAAAGGTGATTGTGTGTCCACCAACAGTACATCTCGTAATGTCACATAATCATGTCACCGGCCTAACAATTTTAATTTGCTGTAGTCCTGTAACGAAACCATAATCTTCTCACAATCTGTCCTTATTTAATTTTGCCTGAATTAAAAGTGGAGAAAATCCGCCCTAAATTGTGAAAGTTTTGCGGGTTGGCATTTCACGGGGCTTTATTTTTTTGCGATGCTAACGGGGAGTTATAAAAAATCATAATAATAATAATAAAAGAAGGAATTGACTATACAGACAGCATTTCAGCATTATTTTATTTTCCAAAACCTTAATTAACATCTTAACCTTCATTCATTTAAGTTTTCTTGTTTTATTTAACCTATGAAACAACCAAAGAAGTATTGCAGTATTCTGATCAATTGTCAGGTATTTGGGAGGCTATATTAAAGAAAGACTGCGTGGGTTTTTGTTGTTGTTGTTGTTGTTATTGTCTTTTTTGGGTTTTTCTTAACTGTTTGTACAGATTTGGAATGAAAGAGCATGAGCTTAAATCCTTCAAAGCCAACATATTGCACAATCCAGTTAGGTCACGTATTCCAAATTCATCATGAAATCGTCCATCTATCTATTTGTAATATACAAACTTCTTCTCTAAGTTTCACCTCTCTCCTCTGTTTTTGATTGGCTAACATGTCCTCAGCCAATGAGCATGCTGAAAAATTTGCATGCATATATATTTGTATGCACCGATTGCAGATCCGTGATCAGGACGTGGGTCGTGATATAAAGGTTGTTTTCTCTCATTTTTGTTTATATCTCCTTTCCTACATTACAAATGTTAAAAAAGTTGCTATTTATTTATCCCTAGGACAACTTAAAACAGAGCCGTCATCTCTGAGGTCCACCAGCGTGACGTCATCTTCAATATCAGATTTCACTGAACGAGTAACTACAGAGGAGGAACAGAACATTCCGACAACATTCGCCACCGGGCAGCCGGCCATAACAAATACTACCGTGATACCAAATGAGTCTAGCAGGCCAACAGCTACACTGCTGCACCATAAGAAGACTACTGTGGGCTCCGCCGTGGCTTCACATGGCACAGAAAAAAGTGGTAATTATTGTTTAAAGAGAATAAGCAAATTTTCCATCGAGGCCCTAATGATTACAAGCCTGATAAAAAACCTAAGAAACATACTCTTCATCATATCTCTCGCTATTATATGTCACTGATCAACTTTTCACCATAATGTCAATAGTGTTAGAGTGTTTCACTGTTCATGAGTGCTCGTTATTGACAATTTCTAGTAGATGGTCATCTCTGAATTTTTAAGCCCAATACCTCTGACCTCAGGGTACAGCATGCAGCGGGGTGGGATGACTACTGCGAGGAGCTCAGGTTCTACTCGACTTTTCTAATTCATGTACGCTTGGAATGCATGATCCGCTTTATCCCTTTAGAAGTACTTTGCTCTCTCTAAGATCTTCGTGTGATTTTGAAAGCTTTTGCGATCATTTCGTCGCACCGTGGTGATAAGATATCTGGTCTCACTAGTCCAACAGAGTGATATTAAACTGAACTTAGAAAGCAGTGCCTGTGATAAACACACGCATCAACCCTGCAACCACTCAGATAAAAAAGAAAACTAACACCAATTACGACTCAATCGCTTTTATTTTTTTGCCCTTCGGATCGTTTGCAGCAGTCTTTAATGTGTGTGATTGCTTTGGTTTTGGTTTATCACAATAAATATAACTGTCCTCTAAGGATCATTGGGGTCGATTCTCACTAACCGACCTCTACAGATGATTATCCTATAATCGACTTTTCTTGCTCGCGCCGCCTGTCAGAGAGTGTTGGTTTGTGCTGATCTAAATGTTCCTTTTTTTCAGGAAAAACGCCCTTGACGTTGTATGGAGCAGTAGTGGGTGGTACTGTTGTCCTAACAATGGCTGCACTTACAGCTGTCTGTTATAAAACTCATAGAAGCAGGTAACTTAATAAGCTTTACAAGGGAATTCTTAGCTAATGCAGTTTTTACCGAGATCACGAATCAGTGTTTACTTGAGGATGCATGGAGCAAACTGTCGTTTGCAAAAAACACTATCACAACTTAGTAAGACTAAAAATATGGTTCACAACGGGAATTTCCAAAAAAAAACTTTGATATTTGAAAGGATTCGTATCTACTGCGTGTGTTTAAAACGTAAGAGATCTGTCAGTGACACTGATAAATGAATATAGGGGTAGTTAGTACGGAAACTACGGCGCTGTATGGGTGGGTAGTATCACAAGATAATTTGTAGCTAATGCTTTTCTGTTTGAAATTGTGAAGAGATTTACCCCTACTAAAAGTAATTTAATCCACAGGCCAAGGAAGGGAAGCCTACGGGTGAAATCTGATCCGGATTCAGAAGCGTTTGAAATGGAACCATTTCACACCAGGTACAGCATGTTCATTCAAATTAGGAACATAGTTAGGATACAAACATGGTCATTCTTGCTTGCTTGTGACTAAAAACATTCTTTTTACTAATTTGTTGTTCAATTCTTTGTCCTAAGGAATTCGTCCCCAGCAAGGGCCATCTCAGGTAAGGCGAGGGTCGTATTAGATGGCGCATTAGCGCACTAAAAAGATGAACACCGCTGAAATTGGTTCATATTGAAAGTCAAAGAGAATGCCTCTAGAATCTAGATAAATTTTTGTGTTGATAGTTGCGCGAAAGCACCTAGCTTTCTTTTGTGAATTGATCTGCTGTTTCAGTTGTTCTTTTTTAATTGGTCTAAGTTACACGCGGTATGAGACAAGATGTTCTGCCTTTCTTTTTCATCAGTGACAAACACTATTTACGCGGTATTAGTAAGTTTCGATGCTCAACTCTCTCATTTGTTGTTTTTCACCAAAAAAAACTGTCGTTTTTATCTTTAATTCCTTTTTATAAAGTTGTTTTAAACCGTTTCTTTTAGCTCCCCCTGGTCAATTTCAGCACTAATCACCAATCGTGTACTGCATTGTTAGAGGAGGCGGAGCTTAGAGAAAATAACATACTCGCGGGAGTTTTGAAAAAGGTCCCACTGTAGCCTGTGGAGGACAAGTTTAGCAAAAAAGCCGAGGCAATGAGCGACATTTCCAGAAAATCACGATTTGATATGAATTCCACACTTTGCAATCTCCTAAAAAAATTTCCATAAGGTTTTCCTGACAATCAAACTAAAAGAAACAAATGGTAAAACAGCAAAGGAGTTTTTCCCTTTCACAAAATTACGTCAATAAGTAGGCAAAGTGCTGTTTCTTGTACTAGCAATATGTAGAAGAAGCGAGTTTTTTGTACCCATTTTGATATGTCTTCTAGACGTCCTAAAGCAAAAACAAAGGTACAGTGGGCCTCTATAATCTGTCTTCTTCAAAAGCCCTATGGTAAAAGTGATTTATTCAAAGTGATTTTATTGAACCCAAGAAAAACATGCAGCCCTCTTTTGCGCGACGGAAAAGTGTGTCTTTGTAACGCACTGATGTGAACGACTGAACAAATGAAATGCTTATTGCAAAATTAAAAAAGATGCAATGAAACGATATGGGCCGTGAAGATATTAGATAGGTTGCGGAAAAAAAAAATGGTCAGAGTGGAAAGGAAGTTCTCTTTCTAAGTGGTCATGGTATTCTTTATAAATATGACGCCATGTCTTCGTTCGAGTCTGCGTTCTTTCTCACTATAAGTAGGCCTAAACAACTTTCCCTTCTTCTTAGACGCCTACCCTCCTCCTCTCTATTCACAATCGGTTATCAGGATTTCTTAGTTAGGTGTTGTGCAAACGTGTGTACTTTTGAAGACAAGTGACACCACAGAGGGTTGATCGTGAGTGTTTGGGTTTTGTTTAGTGCGCAGACTCAGAAGTCGTGATTCAACAGAAGATTTACTGGACATTTCTCGACGACAGCAAGAACGGGGAATGGCCATGAATGCCAATGAGAACCAGTTTTTTCCTCCACTTAGTTTTCAGGATCACCATTCAGCTCATGTGAATCCTGCACTTATCGGTGGTGAGTCAAATTGTGTTCGTACAGTACACTACCTTCTATTTCAGAGACTTTAGCCCATGTATGTTTATTTCGTTGCTTCCCCATTCAATCCAACATGCCTCTGTTTGTTACAATTTAGGCCGCTCAATAAATACATGTTAACTTAAAGGTAAATATAGAATCGATATAAAATCTAAGCTGCTATCATTATCCTATATTCAGAAAATGGAGATTCGCCTGCACGGCAGACAACCAGAACCTTTCAAGACCAAATTCGAGTTCTCATCGAAAACGAAATCGACGAGTTAGTATATGACAGTGGGATCGAGGAGGAAAGCTCCGAGAGTCTCCGACGATCACCCGATCAACGAGGATCCTCCGAGTGCATCCCCGGTGGTACCTTGAATTCAAACGAAAATAATTCGGAGGGTAACAAGGACAGAAAAACACCTCTTGCTCAAGTAGGTGAACCGTTCTACCATGTTTTAGAGGGACCTGGGGACGAGTGCAATTCTCTGAGACACACTGTAGATGAAAATGAGAGAGTTGAGTCAGCAAGTATTTATCAACCGCTCAGTATCAGCCGCCAGAATTTTTCCAAGCAAGGGATCTTAGTTGACAACGCTGATGCTGAAGATGAGACGATATTGTCAAGTTCTGGAATTTATCAGCCCTTAACTCCATCAAAGAGAGTCATTTTAGATGACAAGACAAAAGTGACTTCGCATGGTGGCCTTGATAAAATAATCGACCACAACAACACGAAAGCCGCTGGATCATCTACAGCAATGTATCAACCTCTACTCGATAGACACAAAGCGCGATCGCGGTCGAACATTGACAGACCACGATCTGTTTCAGGAATCTATCATCCCTTAACGCCTAGTCCTGAGAGGGAAGGGCGTCATAAAAGAAGTTGGACAGCCCCGCAAGATATACTATTGCAGGACCTACCTAAGACTTCGAGGTCAGAAAACAGACAAGGTGAGACAGACCCGGTTTATCAAACAGTGGTTGATGAGCAACGGTGTCCCCTGAATATTGACGACCCAGCAAGTGTATCTCCTCGTTCTCCGAGACATTCCCCGCGGCCAAGCCCTCATGAACAACGAAGAACAATCCACGAACCAACCTACATGGCAGTTCACGTGAGGCCCTCACGACAAAATAGAAGGCCTTGTAACAGTGAACATGAGCCCAGGTACACCCCGCCACCTTGTCGGAAAAACCGTTCCCCCGTACATCCTTCAGTCTCCAATGCCCGCGCAGGCCACCGAAGGATTTCCAGTGATAGCGGCCGTGCTTTGTCCGCAATGCTAAACCCTGACAATACCGACACTTCAGGTCCACCTGATAATAGAAGTTCCCTTAGCGTTCTACCACGTCACCTTGGACACCGTAGAAACAGGAGCGACATCGGGCTATGTCCCATTGATCAAAGCCATGAACATGCGTCGCGACGTCAGACTTCTGGTAGCGACGGTGTAATTCCGCGGACATCAAGCATGAGATCACTTTTAAGAGAGTTTCAGAGATCAGCCAGTGACACAACTCATTGTAGGGTACATATCGGACCTTAAATATTTGTTCGATTGCTACTGAAGCCAAGGTTGTCAGAATTGAAACTTTGCGTTAACTTCTGAATATATGAATGAGTGAGATTAATCCAATACCTTAAACTTTTGTTGAATACCAATGAACGATAAAACGTGAGAAGATTTTGGAAAGATTTCGACATTCCATCTGTGCGGGTAAATTTTTAGCAAATTCTCCTGATTGTACCGCAGCTTTCACCAAGGGATAACTTAATAATTATTCCTAGATTCTCAGGGATCACTTTTCTACCGAATGTATTTTATTATTATTGGCAAGATAAACTTGGCGTCGATGATCCTCAAGCCTAGTTCAAGCGTACGACGCAAATGCAAGTACAAGGTAAAGAATGTGCGAACGATTCTGGCGCAAATGCAAACGCAAGCGTAAGCGCGGAACAAGAAATTGAGAAAATTTTATTTCTTTCACTTGTGTTTTACACAAGGATTTGAACTTTTGTCTCATGTGTACATCTTGTATTGATCCTTTAAATCCGAGCCAAATAGTGACCAGCATCTATTTTCTCTTTACAGTAATACAGCTGAATTATTCAGTATGATGATAAGAATAGCGTAAACGATCGCCAGCTTAAGAGGCTTTGATTGTGAAACGAATCCTGCCTGTCAGTGAAAAAAATAAAATGTTTAGGGGAGAGTATGGAGAATATAGATACTGATGAAATTGATTGATAAATTTCATGAGGGAAAGCGTTCTACTCTAAATTGTGTTGCAAATAATACAACAAATTAATCGTTTTGAAGAATCTTTTATAGGGGGGGGGAAGCGAAGTAAAGCTTATTTTTGTCGTTTTCTTTTCTTTCCCATTTTTTAGTTTTTGTATATTTTTGCTCTTCGTTTACATCAATATTTCTTATTATAGTCCGGTAATTAGGTCACAACAGTCATTTGTGCGATAAAAGTATTCATTCAGCGTGGCTTTTGCTATCGCTACGCATGGATGAAATTCCCAATAACAATATTCTGCTTTTTTATCAAATAAAACAGTTAGATTCCATGTTACGCATAGATGAAATTCCCAATAACAACATTGTGCTTTTTTATCATATAAAACAGTTAGATTCCATGTTGTCGTAATTCTGCGCTGTGGGAAATCAAGGAGAACGTCAAAGTGTGGTCTGTTGCTGAGCAGAAGCACGGCATCATGGAATCTATTTGTGAAATAGACAGTTCAGCTCCTGACATTTCAATATATCTTACTGTTATTGAATCTAGGCGTAATTCAGCCTGTGGCTGTAACGGTTTAGTTAATAAAGTATTTATCTATCGCTCTGCCAAACGGAAAAAAGTAAGATAGCTTTATTCAACAGAAGTTGTTTCTAATTTGACAAGCTAAGGATGAGAAAGCAAATAATCTTTTGAAACTAGAATATGTCTCATAATTGCGAGGGAAACATTTCAGTGGACAAAAGTGCACAACTGTGTACTGCAAACTGAGATCAGTTCCTTTAAAGTGAAGGTTCGCCATCATCTTTTTCCAAAGTGATTATTTTCTCAGTGCTACTCTTGTTCATGTTTGGCCATCAGCACTGCTCTGTTATAAGCTCCCGTGAACAGAACGTTAGATTACGTGTATCATATTACTTAATTTGGAAAACTGGTCGGATTTTGGCTAACCGAGCCTTGAGCGATGACTCTGACGAGAAGAAAATTGCATAAGAAAAATACGTCTCGCTATTACGAGAGAAATCCAAAAGTATCGCTTTCGAGACTACCCTCTGATAAAAGTAGTTGTCTCAATCAAGAAGAGGCCAATCAGGAACAGGTCCAACACTGACGTCAAATTGTTCAAAGTGACACCGGCTAAGTAGATAACACACCACCTGTGACATAAACACGATTTTAGAAAAGGTGTTGTGTTCTATTTAAGTTCCTATTATGGCATTTTTTTGAGTTATTACAAAGATGTTTTATCGCTCGTAGTAAGAGTGTTCAACCTATGTGCGGCGCTTTTCAGTCGCAGTTCATTTAAAACTGGTAAAGCTTGTGTTCTTGGTGTAAATAACGGCTTGTTTTGTCTACAACTCATTATATTCTGATGATGGCTACCTCTTTGACTACTTACGTTCTCGTTAATGGTAAGCGTCTTTTTTGATATAATTATTCCACTGAATTTATTTTGAACTGTCATACTTTGAACGTGAAACACGATTTCCTAAATGGTTGTAGCGAAAACGAAGAGCCCAGAAAGCTAGACCTAAGATATTTCCTAAAACGATTGGTTCTATAAAAGATTTAGTGGAGGAGTGATTAGGCGTACAGATCGTTGCATTGTTTGAAAGAAAAGGTTAATGTTGCGCCTAAAAAGTGTTATTGAATATCAATGACAATCAAATCAAGTCAATGAAGCTAAACATTAACGGGTAAGAAATGGCGATGAAATTTCTCCATACGTAATAATTATTGATGAACAGGAAATGACAGCAAATCAAATGAACTTATCTAGTGATGATGAACTAAAAAAAACAAAAATGTTTGTGATGTATGCCCTTTCGGAGTTCGAGAACTGTTTCAGACAATGACGATGATGTTATGAAGCGGTTTAACCCTTCAATTTGTTTACATGTGTTCTTTTAATCTGCGATTTACGTTAAATGTTCTCTTCTTTTGGTTTGTTTGTTTGTTTTTTTTTTTGTTTCTTTACCAAGCTCTTTTTATTCATTTTTCCTTGGCTGGCGTAATTTTCAAACGTGGGGGTTGGCCAAAAGAGCAGAAGCCACAGGTGTGGTCAGGACCAAATCCATGCTACGATAAAGATGGAAACCCGAAATTTGTAAGTCTTCATACAAATACTGTCAACAGTAATACCTTTAAAAGTCCTAATAAATTGTAGAACTGAGACAGGAACCCTCAAAGGTTTGTAAAAAACCAAGAAAGTGGGCCGCGTCACATCAAGCTGAATCGTTCCATTGAAGTCTAGCTTTATTAAGTCGAACCTTCCCAATCCTCTTCAAATCCTGGTACAGGAACCCATAAAGTAATGGGCTCCTGATGTTACCTCATTTTTTTAATTATCCCATCTGACGCTAAAATTATCAAAACTTGCTCGGTGCCACAATGCATGTAACTTTTTCAAACCCTATGATCGTAGCCTCCTCCAAAAGACCCGCCATGGTTTACTGACGACATGTGCCATCTGAGCGTGTGCGCAGGTGCAATGGTTTTAACTAAGTCCATGTGTGTTATGAAAGGAGCTTTATGTGGACCGGTATGTTCATTACAAATATTGTTTTCTTGTATTTATTTTCCGAACTTAGTCGGTGAAGAGCTTCGAAGTGGCTTGGTTTTTTTTCTTCATAACACCAGGAACGTCTACTGCAATATACATCCCTCGAAGCTTTTACATTACCCTGTGAAATCCCCCGGGCATTTTAACTTTTGGAGATTAGTTCGTTCAAATTCCCCCTCTCCTGAGCCAAAATTGCGTTCAAATACCCTACTCAAGCATAATTCAACATTAAGGAAATTAAATGCTGCAGAATTTGGTAAAGTCACTTAGTAGTTTTTGGTACTATGGTTGGGTTTTTCATATGAAGGCATCATTCTGTACGATGTAAATTTTCTTTCTAAGCCATTTGCTCACGGAAGCGGACTCTTTATCTTTAAACTCCTCCATATTGAAAATTGAAACCCACGGTAGTCCGCTGGAAAGATTTGACACTTCCAGATCAAATTTCCCACCCCAGCCAGTCAAGTTCAAACTCCTCACCCACCCACCCCCAAGTAAGTCCTTTTGTGTCAAATGTCCGTGGGTTGCCCCGTTGGGGGGGAGGGGATTATAAATCTGTGGATTGATCGGCACATAACGTTTGTTGTGGCGGCTGTCTAAATTGAGCGTGTTTTTAGAATATGAACGGTACGTAGCTTTCTTTTTCAATTGTATCCTTCCCTCTGTCCTTACAGGGTCAGTATTTAGCTGCAGTTCCCAAACCCCCATCTCCGGCAGCCTGTTGTGTATGCAAGCCATGTAAGTGTCGTGTTGATCTTTCTTTCTAATTTTTTTATTTTAACATACCCTGCATCCACTTTCAACGAGTTCGAGAAAGCGCAAAGCTTAATTGAACCTTATCACACTCAGTAATGACGGTTTTGATAAAATTATTTCATCTGTTTTGACTTAAATCCTTTGAACACCAGGACCTGATTGGGTATTCGTCCTTCCAACTGTTACACATTGTCTTTTAAATTAGTCAAGATAAAAATAGCCATCTCTCATTACCTGTCTGCTGGGTACTGCATTGATATCAAAAGGAGAAGTTAACTGGACTGGTTAGAGAGGCAAAGAACCTGGTTATTTCACTGCAATGCACAATCTTGATTGCTTATTATTATATTTTTTTTGTCTTACAAATGCAGTTGAACCACTTTCATGAGAAAGAACGAATGAAAAGGTTGAGAGATAGCATCTGCGCTAAGCTCACGTTATGCTAGATCTCGCCAGAGTTTCTATCTATGATGGTACAAGTCATGTTATGAAGCGTCGACGGTCGTCATCGGGCTAACAGCAGAACTCGGCACCGAAAATTGCCCGAAAATTCGACGAAGATCTGAAAGCACAAGAAATAAAGAAAGCATAAGAAATAATTTTAGTTGGGAGGCAGTTAGACATTGAGGCCCCTCAGGAGAACTAGAGGGAGAAACCAACGTTACAATAGTTGATAGGGACAACCTCTTTCATGATGCATTATCTGAGGTATCATTGATTTACAACGTAAAGCTGCCTCTCGATGGGTGAGGGAGCGCAGGAATTTGGAGGGCCTAGAAAAGAGTTTTTCAGGTTGGTTCTCAAAGAAATTAAAAAAAAGTCGTTTGACAATGGACTCATTGAGGACTTTGCAGAACATTTTTATATATGTGGAATTGTAATGGGATTGAGTGTACTATAGAACGGCAAAATACCCACCTTCTTGTCAGAGGAACAATAAGCTTGCCTTATCAACCTACAAAACAGCCTTGTTATTATCACCGCACTTGCAGTGAGTACTCAAACATTAGAGTTCATCGATACAAACATATACTATCAGTTTCCATCTGATTAGCTTGTGGACCGAGTCATAATACCACCGTGAACTGGTTGTAGGAACATTGTACTTTCGAGTATAATTTACCAACCGCCACCTTAACGCTGTACCTACGGGGTCTAACCGCCGTAAACAGTTGCTTACTCTCCAGTGTTGAACAAGCAATCCTCCACCTCTCAACAATCCGATAAATACTCTCCTAGCAATATTTGGTGTGAGAAATCCACCATCACTGACATCTGTATCAGCTGCAGTTATTTCTCTGTAGATTTGATATAATTCATTATCACTTTTGTCTGAATATTTTTCAAAATCGTTACTCCCTCCAAGTGCCCTTCGTCCAGTACATTTCGAAAAATATATAGAACGCCAATATTCTATTGTTCCTTCATAATGTTCAAAGCCGGTCTTCTGGTATGGGGAGCCATTTGTGACAAAAATATCACTCGCTAGTGATAAAACTCAATCGTTAGTGCTAAAATATCACTCGCTAGTGATAAAACTCAATCGTTAGTGCTAAAATATCACTCGCTAGTGATAAAACTCAATCGTTAGTGCTAAAATATCAATCGCTCGTGATAAAACTCAATTGTTAGTGCTAAAATATCAACCACTCGTGATAAACTTAATCGTTAGTGCTAAAATATCAATCGCTCGTGATGAAACTCAATTGTTAGAGCTAAAATATCAATTGATCGTGATAAAAAGTTATTGTTAGTGCGAAAATATCAATCGGTAGTGATAAAACAGAACAAATGTTTTGTAAGCAATCCCACCGCACTTGCTGAATTAAACGTTAAGCAATCAGAAATATAATGAGAATTGTAACAATGGCAACCGTATCAACAACAACACTTTTTTCATTTTTGCTGGCGACAGCCACAATATCAAAGCGACCACATCAGAACTGCTTGTGGTTCAATGACCTTAAGAAAAACTGTAATAAGACTTATTCAACTAGCATCATATAACTTTTTCAAACTTAACTTCATCACTTTATTTGTTTAAGGCAAACACTTGAGAAACCTAACAGTTTCGGCTGACGGCGTATTTTAATATTTCAACATTTCCAAGTGGTTGAAATGGCAGAATCAAGTTCACCCCATGAAAATTAGCTCAAAGTCATAGTAAAACAATATGTTCCGTCCATGTCCCCTAAAAATGATTCCCAGTCCGTAATGCGCATTCTCGAAGGTTTGTTTAGGTTTCCGGTTTGACTCATGTAAGACATCACCAAATGTAACATTTTGCAACCACTTACATGAGATAAATTGAAAGTTTGATGTCAACCATCTTCATGGTGCGAAACATTAAGCTTTGTTCTCTCCGACTATATATTATATCAGGTAAAACAACTTTGCAGATGTAGAAATCGAAGAATCTGTCAGACAAAAGAATTTAAAATGTCAGAAATATACTGTAGGTAGTTGGTAAAAAAGAATAACATTTATCCACATTCCATCGAGAATTAGGCTCACAAGCATTGTGCCGTACAGACTGGAAATTGTCTTTAACCACTTCATCTGAATCTTACTTCTTTAGCAATTAACGATAACAATATTAAGATGCAATAATTATTTGACAACCGGTACTGTCTTTGTCTTGGCAATTCGCCTGGCAATTTTTATTTTACTCACATAAAGGATTAACACTTCTACTTAAATTCTTGTTTTAAGGTTGCTCAAAATGATTTACAGCATTTCTCAGTACTGTCACTCCGTTTCAGTTGATGCTATACAAATGGCATTCAATAAGTGCCCTGAATCATTAGTAAAGAAGTTGTTCTCATTTTCGTGATGCAAGGTTACCATAGCGCCAGTTTAGCCATTAAAACACCCTTAATTTTGTCTGTAACACTTCCATTCTTATTATCATTGTGGCCTCGAATGAAAAATTTAAGAGCGGTAAGATAAATCCATCAAAACAGGAAGTACTAAAAAATGCTGAAAACTACGGTGGCCCATAGAGGACATGCTATCCACTTTTTAAATTCAATTTTGTCGTGCGATAAAATTAAAATATCGCGCGAAAAATGAGAAACTTGTTAGGCCCCACATGATCGGCCGGGGACGGCAATAGCTGCAACAGTTGAGGAGCTATGTTTTGAGGTCGATAGTTTGTTTTATTTTCATGAAAAGATCGTTGAGCAGTACTTTGCAATACTTCTACGACACATCGCTCTGTGAATCAGTACAGTAAACCTTAATTTTGCGAAATCTTTAGAGACACTTTCAGGAATGGCCGTTAATGTCTGAGAACTAGTGTGGATTATCTAATCCTTCTGATTACATTGCAGGTTTGTAAATTTCTAGATGTCACTTCTGCATCGCCAATCCCGTCAAGAAAGAACTTTCCAACCGATCACGTGCGACCTAACAATTTTCCAATTTATCGCGCAATAAATGGAAATTATTTTTATTTTATGTGGCAAGTCCTCTATGGGCCACCATAGAAAACTGTTGCCAGCTACCTTAACTAGGAACATAACTTGTGTTGTGTTCTGTTACAATCAGCAGTCCAACAAACGCCACCATTGCGATTTCCCTTGGAGGTATCTTAGGAGACCATAGCAAGTTACAGTTTACATAACTACAACACAATAACTCCAAATTCCTTTCGTAGCATCATTTTATGACTTGTTTTCAGGTTTACTTTGTCAACATCTGAGAGCAAGAGAGAATCAGCACTTACGCCATCCGAGTTTTTCATCTCTACACGAGACCGCTTTAGGTGAAAAAAGACATTCTCCGGCTTTAGTGTGAAACGCAAGCCAACTGATCCTTTTAGAGGGTACGCCCTGACTTGCTTCCCACAGAATATCACGTCATAGGGCTCAGAGGGGGGGGGTCATTCATGGAATGGCGAAAACTGTTTCCTCGGTCATAACAGGTGGTCACTTTTGAACCTTGAAGCCATCGGAGATAAGACGATTCCTTTTTTGCAAAAGCATCAAAATCCTCAGGGGGTCTTGTAGTCGGCTGACATCACGCTGTTCCGAAGCACGGGAGAAACGATTTCTCTTCGGACCTGATTTCCTACCAGCGGCTTTCGCAATGGACGATTGGACTAGATTTGAGAGATTTGGTTCCCACTTGACGGTAAGTTCTTGTAGTTCACCATTGCTGTGAGCAACAGCAATCACATGAGGGCAAATGTTTCGACTTTTGATAGCTTCACAGTCACATCTATCGCTGCCATTTTTTGCGTTAACGATGTGTGGCTGAGTAGGTCTGCCTACAAAAATAACAGCAGACATTCCCAGGGTTGCTTGCACCTTCGTAACACCATTCTTCTGTAGAATTTGATTGCTTTTGATCATGTCTCCTTGATAGTTTTGGGTAGACCACTGCGATCAAAGTCAGGTAAGATTTGAGATGTTGATGGTGAAGGAGGAGAAGCCTCATCTTCGTATCTTTTGCAACCCATTCATCCATAGGTGCAATTCGAGAAATTCTCTCCGTTTTTAAAAGTCGATCCCATTCTTCCTTGCAAACATCTAGCTGCCTGTGCGATGGTGCCAATGTGTATAGAAAGTCACCAACAATAGCTCGGTGGCATTTCGGCGGTTCTCTCTGACAAAGTTGTCTGCAATGTCTGAACCCTTTGAAGATTTTCCAGGACTTGCCGCTTTCTTCTGGTGGTCTATCTCCTTCTTCATGCAGCTGTTTGTATTCTGTGGGCAATTGTTGTAGGAAAAGTGTTTTAGACCAGCTCATCTGCTCATCGGGTGCAGCATCTTCTCTTTCATGTAAAGGGAAATATTGTTGGAAATGCCTCCTTCATCAGTGTGAATCATCATGTAATCAGAAGGATTAGATAATCCATGTCGTGGAGCATCAAGTATCTGTTAGTTGTTTTAGTAACAGAGAGGGGCCAATGTCATATGTGACATTAATACCGAAGGTGGAACATTCGTCTGGATTACGGTAGAATTTCACCGAATCTGCTAACTGTGCTTTTGTAGTGAGCACCACT